TCTCCCTCACAGACACACACACACTCACTCACTCACAGAGTCACACACACACACACTCACTCACAGAGTCACAGACACTCACTCACAGAGTCACACACACAGACACTCACTCACAGAGTCACACACACTCACTCACTCACTCACTCACACACACACACGCACGGGACATTAGACGATTGAGATGCACATGCACATATTCAGGCAAGATGTGCTTCAGATAAACGTGTGAGAGAGAGAGAGAGTGTGTCTGTGACTGTGTGTGTGTCTGTGTGAGAGAGAGCGAGAGAGAGTGTGTGTGTGTGTGTCTGTGACTGTCTGTGTGAGAGAGAGAGCGCGTGTGTTTTTTTTAGGGATGCACGATATATCGGCCACCATATCGGTATCGGCCGATAAATGCTCATTTTTTTCTGTTATCGGTATCGGCCTGATAAGAAAATTTGGCCGATATCTTAAAGCCGATAAATAATGCATTATTTCCTTCAGAGACACTTCAGATGCGCGCTGTTCGTTTGCAGCCTTTTGTCCAATTATTACGTTGTAATATTGTGTTTATTTGATGTATATCTTATTTATCTCATATAGAATGCGTTTGGTTAAGTTAAAAGAGCGCTTCAGTTTACCGGTGATCGTCTTTAGCTCAGCGCACGCAGCTCAAACAGCAGTGCACAACATTAATAACTATGATTGGGAATGTTGTGTTTATAACATTCTAATGAGAACATTATTATAATAAAACGTTGTGAATTCTTTGGGTTTAGTTGCCGTGTTTCAGCGCGTTGTTATGGGAAGAGCGCATCCACAACAGGATCACACATTCTGACTATAGCACGCAATAACTGCATCATTTTGTACATATATAAGTTGTAATATTATGTTTATGTTGTATTAATATTAATCTCAGGATGCATTTCCTTGAGTTAAATAAGCTGCCAGCAAAACGCTTCAGTTTACCGTGTTCATTCAGCTCTTCAGCTTCAGCTCTTCATTCAGCTCTTCAGCTTATTTTTAAAACGTACACCGTTCAAACTAGACTGCTTATGTTGAAGTGTTTGGGATGTGGCTTTTAATGATGAGACCTTTTTTGTAATCAGGCTCTCAAAAAGTATATAACAATTTGGATATAGATTTATCGGCCAACATATCGGTTATCGGCTTTCAAAAATAAAGAATAATCGGTTATCGGTATCGGCCAAAATTTTCATATCGGTGCATCCCTAAGTTAAACTAAAAATAAATTACTAAAACTTTAGTAACTTTACTAAAACTAAAACTTTGTAAACAAAAATTAAAGTGAAAACAGAACATGTACAAATAAAATCAAAATAGTAACATGTATTACTATAAATGAGCATTGAAACTTCTCATAGTAGGTCATATGAATCCTGCACATTTAAGTCAGAGGTTTTCAAAATATTTTGAGAAAAACTGTGTAATTAAAAAAAAGAAAACACAAAAATTTGATTACAATTATAGATTATAATTTAATCTAATAAATTAAAATGAATAAAAACAAATTTGATTAAATTAGGAAAAGAGTAAAGTAAAAATACATATTTACTAAAAAAGTAAACAAACAAATTCAGTGCTGTAATGAGTAGAAAAACTTTCCAAATAATATTAGACTTATTATATACTACTAAAACTCACGGAATAAATCAAGTCTTTAAGAAATGCCTGTTAAGTGTTAGGATGTGTGTGTCACATGAGGATGAGCATGTCTCAAATGGACTATTTAAAGATTAATTTATGGGATTTATGTGTCATTTTCACATTCATAAAGTTCTCTAATGCCACTGAATGGTGCCACATTAATATTTTGTCTTTATTGGCATTAAGGAGCCAAATGTGTTGATTGGAAAGGCTGTGTGTTTTATTTCAGTGGTGTGAAGTGCATCATGTCATGCTGGTCTGCTCTGATTATCAAACTGTTTCCTTTTTAAATGAAGATTTGCGAAGTCAGCAGTAAATACAGGCGTCTTCCTCTTTCATGTGTGATCGTCTTCCTGCGCCGAGAGGAACTTCTGAAAGCACACAGACGGACTAGTGCTGCTCAGTGACTGCTTGCGGTCGGCAGATCAAGTGTGTTTTAGATCACTGTAGAGAGCAGATGCACACAGACATGTGATTTCACAGGACAGCTTTATTAGTGTGCTTTCCTGCCATACCCGTCTCATCTTTATTGACAGTCGAGTGAGTAAATGCTAGTGATCCCATCATTTCACACGCATCTGAAAACGCTGATTCATCTCTAAGCAACAGTCACCTAGGCGATACTTCCATGACAACCGAGAGAGAGAGAGAAAGTTGTGTAAAAGGGTTTGTGTGATGAAGCGCAGCCGTCTAATGACACGTGGATTGACTAACAATATGATTTATTTGATGTGTAGCTACACATTGTTCAGTGTAGATTGATTGAAGATAGTGGTGGGCGGTATGACCAAAAATTAATATCACGGTATTTTTCCAAATTATACCGGTTTCACGGTATATGACGGTATTTGTTTTTTATTTTTTCCATGCATGACCGGGTGTAAACCACATGGTCTACTGATTGAGAGAGGAAATAGGCTACTGCAGTAGATTGACTTAGAATGCCCTATTTTACTGTCATGATGAGTGAATATTGTAGAAAAATTCCACTCTAAATAGTGACGAAACACGACCCATTTGTACATGTTAATCAGGAGTCACTCTCATTTATAATCGCGACATCGTCTGATAAAATCAACATGCATCTACAGTAGATGCATGTTGCGCGGCTATGTGGTGGTTTTGGCTATATTACTTTTTTTGTCTCATGCAGCGCACTGCCTGCGTCTGAGTAAAAAAAAAAAAGTGCATTATATTAATAGATGAACTATGCTCATATTTATAATTCCAAACAATCAGTAAGCGACAGGTGCTTGGAAACGCTGTTTTGTACTCATTTATTGATGAGTCGGCTGTGATACGGCCAGCTGAAAGCGATGCTTCTCTGCCGTTCACTGCACAGAACAGACGCCGAGAGAGACGACACTGCTAGTAACATGTATTACTATAAATGAGCATTGAAACTTCTCATAGTAGGTCATATGAATCCTGCACATTTAAGTCAGAGGTTTTCAAAATATTTTGAGAAAAACTGTGTAATTAAAAAAAAGAAAACACAAAAATTTGATTACAATTATAGATTATAATTTAATCTAATAAATTAAAATGAATAAAAACAAATTTGATTAAATTAGGAAAAGAGTAAAGTAAAAATACATATTTACTAAAAAAGTAAACAAACAAATTCAGTGCTGTAATGAGTAGAAAAACTTTCCAAATAATATTAGACTTATTATATACTACTAAAACTCACGGAATAAATCAAGTCTTTAAGAAATGCCTGTTAAGTGTTAGGATGTGTGTGTCACATGAGGATGAGCATGTCTCAAATGGACTATTTAAAGATTAATTTATGGGATTTATGTGTCATTTTCACATTCATAAAGTTCTCTAATGCCACTGAATGGTGCCACATTAATATTTTGTCTTTATTGGCATTAAGGAGCCAAATGTGTTGATTGGAAAGGCTGTGTGTTTTATTTCAGTGGTGTGAAGTGCATCATGTCATGCTGGTCTGCTCTGATTATCAAACTGTTTCCTTTTTAAATGAAGATTTGCGAAGTCAGCAGTAAATACAGGCGTCTTCCTCTTTCATGTGTGATCGTCTTCCTGCGCCGAGAGGAACTTCTGAAAGCACACAGACGGACTAGTGCTGCTCAGTGACTGCTTGCGGTCGGCAGATCAAGTGTGTTTTAGATCACTGTAGAGAGCAGATGCACACAGACATGTGATTTCACAGGACAGCTTTATTAGTGTGCTTTCCTGCCATACCCGTCTCATCTTTATTGACAGTCGAGTGAGTAAATGCTAGTGATCCCATCATTTCACACGCATCTGAAAACGCTGATTCATCTCTAAGCAACAGTCACCTAGGCGATACTTCCATGACAACCGAGAGAGAGAGAGAAAGTTGTGTAAAAGGGTTTGTGTGATGAAGCGCAGCCGTCTAATGACACGTGGATTGACTAACAATATGATTTATTTGATGTGTAGCTACACATTGTTCAGTGTAGATTGATTGAAGATAGTGGTGGGCGG